ATGGGGATGGTGGAGAGATGGGGTTGGGGGCACACTCAGTCCCTGGGTGGAAGGAGAGGACTGGGCCAGGCACGTGGGGGGGCAGCCCCTCCCTGACCAAAGGGCACCACGGAGAGCTGGGGACCCGCCAGCCACACCAGGCCACACTAAACTGACAGGTCTGCCCCTCCACCCTGGTGGCCAGGCCTGACCCCAGCTGGTGGACATGGTACTCTGCCTCAGGAGTCTGGTGCCCACACCTGGCTGATGTGTGTGTGTGTGCGCGCATGTGCAAGTGTGCATGCTCATGCAGCACACTCAATGTACATAGTGTGATGGGACCTTGAGCTCTGCAAGGGCAGAGGCTGGCTCTGTCTAGTGTTGTACTCCAGCACCTGGACTGTCCTGACACACATGGAATGAATGAACGAATGAATGTTATATGTCCAGGATCTGCCCGTGTCTCAGGGTGGACCAGGTGAGCCTGGAAGATCCCCTGGGGAGACCCCCGCCAACCCCCAACTGGCAGGGGGCACCTTGGACACACCCAGAAGCAGGCTTCTCAGGTCAACTGACCTGGACAGTGGCACTTTTTTGTTTGTTTGTTTGTTTTCTTCCAGTACCGGCGATCAAACTCACAGCCTTGCACTTGCCAGGCAGGCGCTGTGCCGCTGAGCTAAATCCCCAGCCCCTGACAGTGGCACTTTTAATGGAGGACAGGCAGTGCCTCCTGCCTGGGCCATGCTTTCCCAGGCACCCAAGTTGGAGGCTCCCGTACATCTTCCCCCTTCCCAGACCCTGAGAAGTCAAGCCCTCCTCCCGAGAACAGCGAGGCTAGGTGCTCCAGATCACAGGCCCTGGTGTCCCCAAGCCCGGGGTCCTTCACCACAGGCTCGGAGCCAGCTGCTGTCTGGGCACCCTCCACCCCCAGCCCCACAATGGCTGCTCTCACCACCCAGGAAGGGGTGAGTCCAAGACGGACTGGGCTCCCCACCACCCCACGCTTGAAGGATGGCAGGACTGCACTGCGGGGCATGGAAGGACCCCGTGCTGGCACCTGACCAGGGCCACACATGAGGGGCTGAGCACCAGCCACACGCCACTTGTGAGGCTGGTACAGAAGGGCCTCCACCCTGGGAGCTGTGTCCAGGAGTAGCAGAACCCCAACGGGGCTGGGTCCCAGGACTGAGTGACCCTCCCCATCCCCAGCTGCTGGCAGATGCCAGGCCAGAAGCCCCGGGGCCAGTCCTGGATGTGCAGAGACATGGAAAGAGGCCTGCTGTGTCTGCGCAGGATAAGTGAAGACCGCGGCCACCCTAGCCCTACTGGTGTCCAGGGCAGCTGCATGGCAAAGAGTGAGTGCCACTCCTAGGCAGACCACAGCTCAGCTCCCAGAGCCACTCACAGGGTGACACCCTTGGACGAGGCACTTGACCTCCCAGGCCCTGGTAACCGGAAGGCGTTGGGCAGGGGAACTGTCAGCATCAGCATCACGGCACCTTTCCCACCAGGCAGCGGGAGCAGAGGCCAGGGACACAGGACACAGCAGGCAGCTGTGGCTTTGCACTTCCCCAGCCACACGAGAACCCCAGCTAGGCCTGAGAGAAATTGGGCCAAAGTGCCCAGCACGAGTGTCCTGCTCCCAGCCAGGGTGAGGCTGGGGTACATCTGACAGCTAGGACATCCCTGGACTCAACACGTCCAGCAGCTCTGGCACAGGTGGGAGCAGAATTGGTGGGCAATAGGTGGTCACCCTACCTTACAACCATGGAAGCTTCTCAGCTTTCTGTGTGTGCACATATGTGTGTGTATGTATATCTGTGTATGTGTGTGTGTTGCTGGGGGCTGAATTTAAGGTCTTTGCATTGAGCTATATCCCAGCTCTTTATTTTTTATTTTGAAAGAAGGTCTCAGGGCTGGGGATTTAGCTCAGTGGCAAAGCGCCTGCCTGGCAAACTCAAGGTTGTGAGTTCGGTTCCCGGTACCGGAGAAAAACCAAAAAA